CTGAGTAGCGGGGATTACAGGCACGTGCCACCATGCCCAGCTAATTTTTTTGTATTTTTAGTAGAGACGGGGTTTCACCATGTTGACCAGGATGGTCTCGATCTCTTGACCTCGCGATCCACCCGCCTCGGCCTCCCAAAGTGCTGGGATTACAGGCTTGAGCCACCGCGCCCGGCCTCAAGTTTCATTCTTAAAACAAATCTACTTCTGTTGATGTCCAGTCTCCTTTCTGTGGGAGACATGATCTTTTAGGCATGTTGTTCAGATTCTGGCTCGAGGACAAGTCTGTGATCATTCAGATTCCGCTGCATATCTCATTTCTGATGCATTCTGTATTTATTTAATTAGTTTTGCTTTCAGAGACAGCCTTGTTGATCTAATTTCAGATTCCTGGGAAGAGACACCATATTGTTCCCCAGTTACTGCTTATGGATGGCTTGGAGGATGGCAGGGAATCTAGTGAAGAGGCAGGGGCAGAAACTCCAACACAGCAACTCCAAGGCCTCCGTTCTTTTCAGTCATTCTGCTCTGTCTTCCCCATAAGTCCCCAAAAGGTTCAGGAACTTTCGATATTCTGCCATTCATTCTCCTGTCTTCCAGATTGCTTCTTGTACCTGGAAAAAGCAACATTAAATTCCCTGGTCAGATTGCATGTCTGTTTTTGATTCAGAAAGTATGGTCACTATCCTCAAAGCTCCAATAAGTTACTGTTTATTGGCCATCACTGCTGAGGATGGGAGTGGGCATATCCAAATCTCTTGAGAATCCTGGGACATAAATAGCCTTTCATTAACAGAAGGCTGGCCAGGCGTGGTGGCTCACGCCTGTAATCCCAGCACTTTGGGAGGCTGAGGCGGGCGGATCACTTGAAGTCCGGAGTTTGAGATCAGCCTGGCCAACATGGCGAAACCCCGTCTCTACTAAAAATACAAAAATTAGCTGGGCGTGGTGGCAGGCACCTGTAATCCCAGCTACTCAGGAGGGTGAGGCAGGAGAATTACTTGAGAATTGCTCCGGGAGGCGGAGGTTGTAGTGAGCTGAGGTTGCGCCACTGCACTCCAGCCTGGGCAACAGAGAGAGACTCCATCTCAAAAAAATAAATAAATAGAAATAAAAATAAATAAAATAAAGAGAAGGTTGTGGGGAGTAACAGGTCTCCTCTGCTGACGTGGATTGGTGAAGCAGGATCTAGTGCTTGGGTCTCTTGCTTCTCCATGTAGACAGCAGAATCTAGTTGATAAAAGAGAAACTTTGGGGTTCTGAAGAAATAGAATGTTTTAAGGCCTAAAGATTGCTTGGAATTCAACTAACATAGCTCCATCATTTTACAGGTGAAGAACCAAGGTCCAGAGGGAAGTTACATGTCACACTGCCAATTAGGGAGTGAGCCATAATAGAACCCAGCATTCTTTCTACCCGTCTGTACTGCCTCCCAAAAGAATGGTGGCCCAGCTTCCTGACCATTGGGCAGGACAGGAGCCTCTGAGGAGGTGTAGGATATCACAGCACTGTTGATTGTTGTCTATACAAAATGAATAATATGCTAAATGCATAAAGGGTGATGGACCCTGGGGTGAGCTGCACCCCCACATTGAGAGTCAGATGATGCTGTGTACCCTCAAGCTAGTAAGAATCAGTCCACAGCGAGAATTGGCGAGTTCCCGCTGCAGCATGACTTGGAGCTCTTTTGTTTTCCTTTGCTGCCATCTTGAGGCCTGTCACATATCACATAGAAATACTTTTGGAGCAGAGGTACATTTCTCATCATTGCTCAGATGAAAGAGCCCTGGAGAGGAAAGGTCTGTCTGGCTTGATATTGAGGAATGAAGATAAGGGAACACACCCTCACAGTGCGTAGGTGCTCGGCACTGAGCTTCTGGTACAGTGGAGTGTCGTGGTAAGAACATGAGCTTTGGGGTTCACTCTGAGCTCCTCTGCTTGTGTGACCTCGGGCAAATCATTTCGAGCTCTCTGAGTCTCAGTTTCATCATCTTAAAAATTGGATGAATAATCCCACTTTGCAGGCTCAAAGGAGATAATGTACAAAAAGAGGCTAGCACTGTGCCTGGTACATAGTAGGTACTCATAATGTATTCACAGTGGTGGGGGGAGGTGATTAGATGTGTTGCTTAAACCCTTGGGGAGATTGGGGCAAGTGGCCAGTCCATGAGCTCCTTGAGAGGTTGTATTTCCAGGGCAGGGCGTTGTAGACAGTGGACTGAATACATGTGTGCTGCGTTTGGGGGTAGGTGGGTTGTGAAGAGGTTGGCCTGCCTAGAGCAGAGGGTTAGTGCTCAGTTCTGCAGGCATCTGGGGAGTCATTGAAGCCAGGCCCCTCAGGCCTGGTACCTGAGAAGAATTGGGCCAGGCATCAGAAGCAATCTTGTTGTTGCAGAGGGAGATGGAAAGTTTTAATAAATGTGATAAGGCGCGCTGTGGCCCTGGTGCTCTGTTCTTTAGGGGGGTGAGAAGGCTAAGGGTTGCTGCTACTGGCATCTGCTGAGCACTTACCATGTGCCAGGCACTGTGCTAGGCTGAGCCTCACAGCCACACCCCATTAAGGGAGGGATTCTCACCAGCTCACCCCCAAAGCCCCATTTTACAAGGCAAAGCACTGATACTCAGCATAGTGAAGTACCTTCACTACGATTCCATGGCTTGTAAGTACTGGAGCCGGGAGTGCTGTGATCGCAGCACGCTGATGCCTGCCTGCCCCACCTCGCCAGCCGGGCCTCCTTTCACTCTTTCAACAAATGCCCCCGTCTGAGGCCCACCTCCTCCTCTCCCTGTGTGTCCGTCTGTCATTTAGCGCTTAGCATAGATGGACACTCCCCTCAGTAAGGCCACATCTTGGCTCTCTCAGCTGAGGACAGAGCCTGTGCTATGTTCATCTCTGTCTCCTTTGCAGCATAAGGGAAGGAGAGAGGCCTGGGGTGAAGATGGAGGAAGACGACAAAGAAGGAAGGGGAAGTCTGTGTCCCACATGCTCCTACTTTTTTTTTTTTTGAGAGGGAGTCTTGCTTCTTTACCCAGGCTGGAGCGCAGTGGCACAATCTCAGCAGCTCTCTGTAACCTCTGCCTCCCAGGTTCAAGCGATTCTCTGCCTCAGCCCCCCAGGTACCTGGGATTACAGGCGCCTGCCACCATGCCCAGCTAATTTTTTTATTTTAGTAGAGATGAGGTTTCACCCATCTTGGCCAGGCTGGTCTTGAACTCCTGACCTCGTGATCCATCTGCCTCGGCCTCCCAAAGTGCTGGGATTCCAGGCGTGAGCCACCGCGCCCAGCCATGCTTCCACTTTCAACTTCCATGATCCTCCTCCGCCCCACTGTCCTGACCCTACCTCCTCTACACACACACACACACACACACACACACACACACACACACACACGCGCGCGTACACATGTGTGTGTGTACACTGGCGTATACACTCTCACATTTTTCTTAGGAAGGAGTAGTGGGAGGGGAAGGGTGTGGTTCAGATATCACTCGTTTCCCTGGTTCCCTCAGTGATGTCCCCAACTCCATTCTCTCCTCTCACCTTCTTTTGCCTCTGAACTGGCCTCACAATGAAAAAAGCAGACCAGTGTAGTAGAAAGGAGCCCAGCAGCTGACTCATTTATCCCCTCAGCCTCGTTCTCTTCATCTGGAAAATAAGCAGGTTGGAGCAGGCAGTTGGCAAAGCCTCTTCTATGGTGTTAATAATACCTGGCATTTGCCTACCGGGTTCCAAAGGGCTTAATTATCCCAACAGCCCCATGAGGATCGGCCTCGTGTCACAAATGGGGGAGACTGAGGCTCAGACTCAGACAGGTGAAGTGACTTGCCCAGGTCATGGGGCTGGTAAGTGACAGAGCCAACATTTGAGCCTAGGTCTTTCTGTTTCAAGTTCGGGCTTTGCCCTTGCCCACGGCTGCTGGCTGCCTCGAGGAAAGCCACACTCCTCACTGCAATCCGCTAGGCTCCACATGGTTGGTTCCTGGGTTCCTGGTGCCTCTTTGACCTCACCTCCGACCACTCTTCCCCTTGCTCACTGCACCCCAGCACCACCGTCTTCCTCTCCATCCCGCCAACTGGCAAGGCACTCTACCGTCTCCCGGCCTTGCTCTTGCTTCTCTCCGCATGAAATACTCTTCCCCTCATTTTTATGACATGCATTAGGCCTCAAGGTTCCCAAAGCCACTCTACCTAGGGCAGAGGGAGAAGAGTAGAGAGCGTATACTGACTCTGTTGGTTTTTTTTCTCTGTTTCTCTTTCAGATCTGATGGTGAGAATTCCAGAACTGTCAGGTCAGTACCTCCTTTCTTTAATACTAGTTGGGAGATGGGGCAGGGCCTGGGGTGGGGGCCTCTGGTTTGTAACTGCAGGACCCATGGGCAGGGGGAGGGGCCACCTCAAGGGTGTCTTCCCTGTTGGTATTAGGGGTGGCTATGGAGTGGAGTGGGAGGGTGGTTGGGGGATGTGTCAGTTGTGGGGAGGGGGTTCAAGACTGTTCCTTAGTCTTTCTAACCCTAGTTGACTTGGGGGCTTGGCTGAACACCATAGAGGCTCATAGGAGCTGCCCAGATGTGAAAGCTGATTTTCAGAGAGGTCAGCTCTGGACCCAGGACCTTTTCTACCTTCTCCTCCCAGAGGAAGAGGGCATGATCATGCTGAGCTTCCCTGGTCTAGCGTTCACGTTCCACCCTGAATCCATGCCAGACCCGAGTAGTGGGATTTGGATGGACTCTGGATATAACACATTCTAGGCTTTAGAACTATACATTATGGTGACAAGGAAAAATTTTTTGTGTGTGCTTGGTAAAAAAAAAGTTTACAAGCTTCAGTATGTTTTATTTTCTGTTTCTGTTGGTGGTGTTATTGCTGTTACTGACCCATTGGTAAACATAGTAAGTCTTAAAGATGTGCTCAACCTGCTAGTTGGGGAGGCAGGAGTAAAACTTGGGTAAAGGTAAAGACAAGGGTCCTTTGTGCATTGCCCAGGCCTTACCCCATCAGAACCTTCGTGAAGGCAGAGGTGTCAAGTATGGGGATTATATAGGAATGATGAAGGGCTCAGGAGAGGACCCACTCAGCCTAGCATCCAGGTTGGGGGCTATGGGATAGGTCGTTGAGATGAGTTGAGCCCAGGCAGCAGAGGCACAGATGGGTACAGTCCTTCCCAGCCACGGCTGCCAGTAGCATAATTGGCACCTCTGTGAAGAATAGAAAAAGATGTTCCTTTCAAAGGCACATCCTCTGAGTGGCTCCATTGAACATAGCACGGGTTGGATATCAGCCCCCGTTCGTGTCCTCTTGGCTGTGACCCTTTGTGCACAACTTGCCCGACTGTATGCAGCAACCCTGGTCCTGTCATCCAGGCAGTGGATGTGGGCTGGGGACAGAGGATGCCAGCATACAAACAAAAGTGTCTAATGAGGCACACTCTGTTCTAGCACCCCAGGCAGGGGATCTGGGGTAAACACATGGATACCCACAGCCAAGATTGGGGCTGTGGGATGAACACACACTGAAGCCAGCTTTCATGCAATCAGTCCCAGTGTCCAGGAAGGGGGTTTGTGACAAGACATAATTAGTCCCAGCATGCAGCCAAGGAGCATGTCATGGGCACAGCTTGTTCTAGCACTTAGGAAGGCACCTGTCTAGCAAAGGGTGTAGATCTCAGTGTCCCACCGTGGGTTTGGAGAGAGGCCATCTGAGCTGACCCCGAGCACAGGGCTCCTGCAAGCATCCCCAGTGATGTGCCTGCTACTTGTTGAAGAACAAGATTGAAAACATCTCTAGTTTTCAGCAATTCCCAGCAGGGAAGTTCCTGGGACTTAGAGCTCAGGACATTTCATAATGAGCATAATCATAAGTCAAGTAATGATATACATTTGGGCCTTTACAACTTACAGAAGTTGTCAGGGACTTTCTTTTGTTTGATCCTCCCAGTGACACTGTAGGTAGAACCTGGGCTGGCCTTATCGTCATTGTTTTACAGTTGAGGAAACTGAGGCTCAGAGTGGTTATGGGTTTTGCCTACAGCCAGGCAGCTAATATGTGGATTCAGCTAATATATGGATCCTGAGTCAGGATTCAAACCCAAGTCTGTCTGGCGCCACCCCAGAGTGCTACCGACACCATCACCACGGGAGCTCTCAACAGCCTGGCAGATAATCATCATCATCCCATCCTCATCCTAATATTAGCGATTATAGCAGTCATCATCGGTTCCTCACATACTAACAGTTCAGAATATCATCGTATTTAATGCTCACAACAGCCCTAATAGGCATGGATTACAACCCCTGATTAACAGATGAGGAGAAAGAGTTTCTGAGAGAGTCAGTGCCTTGAGCTGTCTGGTTCTAAAGCCACATTTAATTTATTCAGACACGTTTCCTGATATCCATCCTGGGCCCACAGTCTAGGAGGCTATAAGGGCCTAGAGGACTCAGAGCATCTGGGAAGTGAGGGTCAAACTCAGGCTATGGGAACGGGCTAAAGTATGGCGTGTGGAGGGCAAGATCTTGACAACATGATGGGAAGGCAACTTGAACTTGCAACCAGGGCTGGGTAGGGACCCACTTGTAACTTCTTGAGTTCACTCCAGTTAGGGTAAGGAAGAGCTTCCCAGAGCAGGCAGTGTCTCAGCCATGCTGTGGGGGGCTGCCGTGCAGATTTGTATAAGGAGGGTGTCCCGGAGGTGGGATCAGCAGGGCAGAGGAAAGCAAGCGGGGTGGGTTTAGAGACAGGGACCGATCCGTAGGGCGAAAATAGAAGATTTAGGCAGGAAAAGAGCAGTGAGGTCAGAACGCCGGTCAGGGCTGGGTCACAGCGACTTTCTGACATCAGTAGGGAGCTGGGGGAAGTTGGAGGAGAAAGGCGAGGCTCTGTAGCATAGGAAGGGCAGAAACATTGGCTCCATGCATAGGGCTCCATTTGGGGGTAGGTTGCTTTCTACTTGTGTGACTGGACAATCTGTTCGTCTCTTGGAACCCCAGTTTCCTTGTCTAATAAACTTCACGTGTGTGTGTGCGTGTGTGTGTGGAGGGGGAAAGGTTGGGGGGGAAGAAGAAACACTGAGGAGAGGCACTAGGCCTGGGCTTTTATGGGAACGGAATAGCAAGAAGAGAGCAGAGTCGGGAGATTGCAAGCCACCCGTGGCAGGTCCCAGGCCTGAGGGCTTCTAAATATGGGGTGCCAGAGGAAGTGTGGAGTCTAATTACAACCGACAGCTGGTGATGGGGGTGGGGGGTAGGCACAGGCAGAGAAAGGTGCCTGGACTTCTTGTGGATCCCTGAGAAGTTGTCACAGATCTACCTAAAGGCACCTTAAGCCAAGGTCCAGAGAGGGATTGGCCATGGCCCAAGGTCACAAAGCTAGCTAGCAGCATACCGCACTTCCTAGCTGTGTGCTCTTTGCAAAATCACTTAACTTCTCTGGTTCTTAGTTTCCCATGGAAACAATAGTCTTGACTTCTCTGGGTTAATGAGAGAACTTAAAGCAATGCAGGTGAGAAATAGTGGCGCAAAAAACTGTAGAGTCCTCCGCTCTCCCCTAACCCAATCCATCATCATATGCTATACAGTCAGGCTGGAAGAATGTGAAGAGGTGTAGAACTTGAAAACAGAGAGGGCGGGAGGGGCCTGATGAGGCCCTCACCGGAAGATGAGGGGACCCAGGTCTAGATGCACTGCTACAGTGAGGGTCAGCCTGAACTTGTTGGCCCTGGAGACAAGGCTGGGGTTGCTAGGCACACAAGGATGAAAGCCGGAGGAGGTGGTATGTTGCTAGGGAAGGAGGGAGGGGGTGGGGGAGCCGCTGACACCCGCGGAGCCAGGGATGTCCCCATGGCAACGGGAGCCGCTGCAGTTGGAGGAAAAGTGGGAGGAGGAGCCTCCCACTCTGGGTCTCAGTGCCCCCATCTGTCCTACGGGAGTTTGGATTAGATAATCTCTTTTGACCTCTTAGCAGTTTGGGATGGCCAAGACCTCATGAACCATCCGTGGCTCCCTCATCCACATGTCCAAGACACTACCGGTCCCAGAGCCATCCAGCCGCGTCACCTCCCATGTTGCCTCCCGTTCGGCTCAGCCCAGTGGCCCACCCTGCCCTGTTCCTACCACTTCCTTCGCCTGGAACCTTGCCACTTACTGCTTCCCAGTCTGGGGGTGCTGCAGACACAGATGAGCCAGCTCTGGCTAGCCCAAATGGGAGCGTGATGATGGGGTAGACAGCCAGTGTATAAGGACAGAAGTCTAGAAGAGTCAGAGCTGGATTCTGACAGTGGGACAGAGGAGGAGGTACCTTTCCAGGAAGCGAAAAAAGGGCAAGAAGGGATAAGAGGTTTCTTTTCTCCTCTCCTTCCTCTCAGTGTTCTGCCTCCGCCTGGCCCAGCCCCAGGAAGTGGGTGACCCCTAAGCAGGCTGAGTGCCTGGTTGGCACCGAAATAAACTTACCTTCTCTCTCTTCCCCCCCCCCCCCTTGCTTCTGTCCCCTCTGTCCTGGCTTTAATTAGCAGCCCTGGGGATGAGTCACTTGGCAGCTGGGGTGGGAGGCTGCACAGAGCCCAGTGAAGCTCTGACTCCTGCCCTGAGCCTTACGGGCAGTACCTCTGCGTGCATGCATGTGGGTGCACTGCTGCATGTCGGGGGCTCCATGGCAGTGCAGCTGTAAAGAGCACAGTGCAACACTGCATGCTGGCACGTGCCCCTGCATGTCAGGGGGTCTGCAGACAACCATATCTGGTTGCTGCTGCGTTTGTTTCTGTGTGCCACTGAATGTCAGCATGTGTGTGTGAGCGTGTGGCTGGAGTGTGTGGCTGTGGTTGCAAGTGTCAGGGAACAAGGGAGCTTCTGGGTGAACACACACAAATGCTGGATAATTGCATTCGCCCCTCTCTACCTAAGCGTTCTTTATGTGATTTTGCTTACACAAGCCCTGCCGTTATATTCCAAATTTTCACTTGTCTTAGTCTGGGTACACTTCGTGGCGAGGAACAGAAACCCATCCAAGCTAGCTCAAAAATAAAGGGTTGGCGGGGGGACTATTGTGAGGCTACACCTCACAGAATCTAAGAACAGTGAAAAAAATACAGCCAAGCCTCACACCAACTGGAAGTGGGACCAGGAAGTCGAGAACCAAGGTTGCTGCCTCGCTCTCTGCACCTCCTGGGCCCATGTCTCATCTTTCTCCATCTCTCATGGCTTGCCTGGTCCTGATCATCTTTTTCGTGGACTCCTCTCTCTGGATTGGCTTCCTCTGCTTGCTATATGACCTTTTTCAGCTTCAGGATCCGCCCGCCCCCACCATCGGACTGCAATGATCCTCCAGTCTGTGGTAACACAAGGCAGCAAGGGGCCGTGTGAGATAACTGATCCCCCAAGAACTGGATGAGAGGAGAGAGAGAAAACACTTAGTACTTCGTGTTTCTTCTGCGATAAAGACAGGTTTTATGCGTACCCAAGTGAGGTCAGAGCCTGGTCGGCTCAGAGGCAAACACTTGTAAGATTGGTTTTGGTTCCAATTTTATAGCAAGATGACCTTTTGCTCACTGTGCTTTCAAGTTCCATATCCTTGCATCAAAACATGCTGTTTTGTCTAAAACTACCTTATTATTTTATGCCAAGAAGGCTTTTAAATGTAGTGAATATTACCATTGCTACCAGCTTGTGGTAATTTTTCATAGCCTCAGAACAACTGGCATAATGCTACTGATGTTACAGCTGCCACCCAACTCTTGGTGGCCTCAGGAATTTTGATATTTCGTGAGTTCAGTGACTGAATTTATAGTTATCTCCAGTATATAATTACAAGTACACATTATCAATGTTATCAGCTTGACGCTGGAGCTTACTTTTCCATTAATACAAACGCTGCAGGTTTTACATTAATTACAGAGGGAATTAATGACCCCTTAGACAAGTTTTCACCTATGAATAAAGAGTTTGGAACCAGCTGTGCCAGTAATGACTGTTCTCCAGATACAGGGGTGATGCCCACAGCTCTGGCCTTGGTCCTGACGTCGCATCCTCTGGCCAAGAATAGGGCTTCCCACCACCTCCTCAGAGGTCTCCTGATTCCAGCCTAGCATACAGTAGGTGCTGTTATTTTTGATAAAATTGATAGTTTTATTATTGCTATTAAAACCACCTTCCATATATAAATGGTAAACCTAGGTGGGAGAGATTATCCCAGGTTCTGGGCAGTCTCCTTCAACTCCCCCTGCCCTTTTCTCACTGTTCCAAATAGTAATAATTGCTTCAATTCAGAAAATGTCTGCTAAATATCAGGTAGTATTACACAGCACTGGACACACATTATCTTTAATCTTCGTGGCCACCCTGCCAAGTAGGGTGACTTACAGGTGGGGAGACTAAAACCTCGAGAGGTAAAGTGACCTGCCCCAAGTTGTCCATCCATCCATCCATTCATTTATTCCTTCATTCAAGGATTTATTGAGTGCCTACAATGTGCCAGATGCTGCTAAATGTGGCTGACAGGGTGGTGAGTAACAGCCCTGCTGTGATGAAGCCCACTGTCTGGTCAGGAAATAGACAAGGAGGCAGACAATTAGAGACAATTATAGGGGAAGTGCAGGGTGCTGTGGGAGCACCACAGAAATATACCCAACCCAGCCTGAGGGCCAGGGAGGCTTCTCCAAGCCGACATCTAAGCAGAAGCTTGGAGTGTGAGTGGAAGTTAGCCAGGGGAGGGGCTGGGTGGGGCAAGATGAAGTGGAGAGTGTTGCAGGCCAGAACTGCACATTTTGGCACCCACGTTTGTGAAGGACTAAAGGAGTTTCTGCAGTGAGATGGCGATGTCATGAGAAATGGTCTGGTCTGGAAAGGGAACAGAAGGTTTATTGGGAGGCTGGAGCTGCTGCCCTGGTTGCTTAGATCCAGCGCTGAGGAGCTGCAGGATCCAGCAAGTTTCCATTCGACAATTGCGGGCCTGGGGGCCCCCTGGGTTGGCCTGACCAACATCAGGCTGGGATTCCAGTGGCCACAGTGCCCCCTAGTGTCCACCAGCCCACCTTGCAGCCTCCACCTCTGTTCATTGTCTCCCACCATGTGTGACCAGGTGCCCTGTGCTGAATGCTGGGGACACTGGGATGAACAAAACACAGAGCTCTCACAGAGCTCCCGGCAGAGAGGGGGCAGCAGGCATCTGAACACAGTGTTAAGAGAAGCCGGCTGAGAGGCGAGCAGGGCGGAAGGACACAAGGGAGGTGACCCATCCTGCTTGGGTGGGGTCAAGGCAGGTTCTCAAAGGGCACAACATCTAGCTGACTTTTGAAGAACAAGGGGGAGCCAGCCAGGTGGGGAGATGACAGTAGGGGCAAAGCGGGAGAACAGAGGTACTATTACAGGGCATTTGACACACAGTCTCTTTAATAAAGCTTGCAGCAGCAGAGTGGAGCCGAGAGTTGCAGGTCTTCTGTCTGGGTGGGGTGCAGGTTGAAGGTAAGGAGAAGGCTGAGACTAGCTGGAGGTGTGGTGCACAGGCTAGCTCACAGAAGGTTCTAGGATGCCTGCCACTAGCTCATCATGGGCACTTAGTGAATAGAATCATATAAGAAGCTTCCCTACCCTTTGGGATCACAGACCCATCTGAGGATCTGGCCAAAGCTAGAGATGCTCTCCCCAGAAATTAATACTCTTCATACAACTTTGGGGACTTCCAAGACACTTCCCACTCCACATGCATGTCCACAAACCACAGGCTCCCAAACTGCTCTTCCTATAGGTACGGAAACCCACACGGAGGCCTCCAAGGCTCTGCATGCTGGGCCTCCACCTCCATCTCCAGTCTTGCCTTTCTCCCCCGCACCTTTCCGGCCTTGCTACGCCGGCATCTTCATGCTTGCTGGAAATAGCACTTTGGGTCCTTTGTCCAGGTTGCTTCCTCTGCCTGGAATGCTCTCCTCTTGCCATCTCTACCTTTTGCTCAGTTGAACTGCATTAGTTTGTGAATATCTGTATCCTATCACTTGGATACAAGCTCCATGAGAGCAGGACATGTATACCCTTAGTCCCTGCTGTACCCAGCCCCGGGCACAGTGCCTGGGCCACAGTATCCGTCACATAAGAGCATGAAGGCCCTGCCAGTGCCCTGTGGCTGGGTCAGGCTCCCCACCCTTCATTCCTTCCTCCCTTCAGCCCCTGATGGATCATCATCTGAGTCGGCTCAGCATGCTCAGCTAAGACTGAATTCCAAAAGTGGCCCCAGGTTCAGGGACATTTTCTTAGAAATCTTCCTCACTATCCCTGAAACAAACAGGCTTCCCATGGGTCCTCTGCCTCTCTGGGAGAAGGGTCAGACTCTCTCCAGCTCAAGCTGAGACTCTTCACCACGTGCACACTTTCTCTGCCAAATCCCTACAAGAACGGTGAGGTAGGAATTGCCACTCCTCTTCTATAGATGAGCAAACTAAGCCTTAGAGGGCTTACCCAGCTAAAAAGTGATAGGGTGGGGACTTGTACCTAGCTTTACCAGGCACCAAAGTGTAGGTTTTTTTGCTTCATCAGAGAGGGAAAGGGGCTTACCCAAGGTCACATGGCATCATCCCTTAAAGCTACCACTACACTATTTTTTTTTTGGACAGGGTCTTGCTGTGTTACCCAGGCTGGAGTCTAGTGGCATCATCTCAGCTCACGGCAACCTCCGCCTCTAGGGCTCAAGCGATCGGCCTGCTTCAGCCTCCCTAGTCGCTGGGACTACAGGTGTGCACCACCATGCCTGGCTAATTTTTGTATTTTTAGTAGAGACAGGGTTTTGCCATGTTGCTCAGGCTGGTATCAAACTCCTGAGCTCAGGTGATCTGCCCGCCCCGGCCCCCCAAAGTGCTGGGATTACAGGCGTGAACCCCTGCACCCGGCCCAGCACTGCACTTAATGTCTATCAGCTCCTGCCAGGTCAAGAGGGTTTAGCTCTTAGGGTGATAACTGCAAATGGCTAGTTACAAGGTGAAGCTGCTGCAGCAGCTAGGAGAGTTGCTCAAGGAGAGTTTTTTTGTTTGTTTATTTGTTTGTTTGTTTGTTTTTAAGGCAGGAGCTAAGGGCAGAGCCCTGAGGACCAGGGCTTTGAGGGTGGGCAGAGGGAGAGGAGGCCACCAAGGACCCACAGATGCCAACCTTGCGGTGGTCCGGAGGGCCTCTCTCTCTCAGTAGCTTTGGCTTTCTTGAGAGGAACCAGCTGCCCCGGCAGGGAGGCAGGAAGGCTGGCCTGTTGCCTGTCAGCTTCCATTTCTTCTAGATCACTGGCCCCCTGGCCCCTCCCAGGGCCGCCTTCTGCTCAGAACAGCCAGGGGCCTGGGCTCTGGAGCCATGAAAGGATGGGAGCACTTCACGTTGGACCTGTGGTACTCTTTAGGAGCCCCACATCCTTCAGAGCTGAAAAACTCTCTCCTTTCCCCAGTCACACCCATGTGGAGGACAGAGAGGTGGCTGTTATAGGCAGGCAGGGAACCAGGGCACTGGAGTCTACTCTGACTTGCTGCATGAACTTTAGTAAGACTCTTCTGCTCTCCAGGCCTCAATTTCCCCATCTGTAAAGTCAGGCTGGGCAGTTTCCTTGGAAGAACAGCTTCTTGGCATTTCTTTTGATTTCTCCTCTTCTCTTCAGGAAGCATTTCTCTCAGCCAGTCTAGAAAACAAGACAGACAAGTGAGAATTGACTGCAGTGGGAAAGAATATTGGCCGGGGCCCCATCTTGAGATCTCAAAATGGGTCATTTGAATTTTCCTTGATATGGAGAGTCCCAGAACAACTCCTAGACATAGTCTCTTTAACTGTGCTGAAAATGATGGTATTAGTGAAAAGCTTCTATGGAAAGGTTTCTGTATTCACAAGGTAGCGATATGGCTGAGGGCACAGATTCCAGGTTTCGGAATAGCCAAACCGGGTCTTGATCTTGGGGTTCTGCCACTGACTAGCAGTATCACTTCACCTCTCTCCATCTCAATGTTCTGTTCAGGAGAACAGAGCCACACACTTGGTGGAGCGCTTGGGGAGATTCTAGCAGAGGTGCCTGGAGGGAGCCCAGCCTGGGGTTTGGCCCAGAGGAGTGACTGACTACAAGCTCTCCAGGCCGCTTCCTCCTCCGAGGAGTTCCCAGCCCTCCAGGAGGAGTAGGGGAAGGAGCAAAGTTTCCAGTTGCAATCTGGCCCGCAGCCCAGCTGGCCTGGCCCCGCCTTCTTAGTTCCTCCTTCTAGGGAAGGGCTGGGGAGGAGGGGGTGGTGACACAGTGGAGACACCGGCTAGGCCAGGGGGCCTGCCCTTGGGACAGGTCCAGACCCATGGAGCCCCCCAGGAGGAGCAACAGGTAGGAACCTGGGCCCCGTAGTCTGGCCCCTCCCTTCCTGCCCAGGCCTGGACCCAGTCCCTGGGCTGCTGATTCAGCAGCCTCCTGGCTTCCTGGTTCCTGGCTCCCTTCTTGGACTCTGAGAGGCCTTTGGCCCGGGGGAGGGAGCCAGCTCGAGTGGGAGAGCCCATGGGCATCCAGGTGTCCAGCTCTGGAAGGACCCTGAGCCCTGAGCAGCACAGCCTATGGCCAGTGAGGGGTGAGCTTGGCTGCTACCCGGCTTATCGACTGTGTGTTCAGGGCACTGCAGGGTTCCAGGCTCTCAGCCCCTGAGATTCTAACAGCAACATTTCAGCAGCCTAAGGGTCTCTGAGTCTCAGATTCAAAAGAGATCATGAGTCAAGGACTTGGGCTGGAGACTGGCACCTGAGAAGCAGTTGCCCTGATGATTAATCCGGAGCCTTTGATAAGAAGAGTCTCAGATTCAAAGATTCCCTGTAAGGTTCTGAGATTTGGACATCTTCAAATTTGCAGCTGGCCTGGCCCGCAGCCACATCTCCTGGCTTTTACATGGGCTTTTGAATGGCCAGGTCCTGACCATAGCCTGCCTCTAGGGGCTTGTGGGTGACAGGGGCTGGCTGACCTGGAGGGGTCGGCTCCAGTCCCAGCTTGCTCTGTCTCCAGCTGACTGGCACGCCTCTGGCATCTGCGCTGCATGGGGTAGGGTAGGGACCAGGCCCTCAGCCTCCCTGCCCTGCTGTGCCGCCCCCTACCCTTGGCCATTCTGTGGGAGGCAGGAGGTTGGAGGGGCCTTTGGACCCCGCACTAGGGGTGGGAGCGCAGCATCAGGGGTGGAGTGCGGGCCCTGCCTTGGGGTGGGGGGGAAGCACTGGCCTTCAAAGCAAAAGACTCCTACCTGGAACCACCCCATCCTCGGCCTCACCCACTCGGCCCTGAGTCCCATCCTGTCACCAAGACCACTGAGACCTTGTCAGCCTCCTCCACCCTCGCCCTCCTCTGCTCTGGCACGCTCTGCCTCTCTCTGGCTTCTCTCTGTGTCTTTTGTCTCACCCTTTCTCTGTCTTCCTCTTTCTCTGTCTTTCTCCTCTTCTGTCTCTTTCGGTTTCTCTCCGTCTCTCTCCCTCTCTTCCTTCAGTGTTCCCCCTACCCACCCACCTGGGTTCTCCCCCGTCTTCGGGCCCAGAGCCTCTCCTTCCTCGATCCCTTTCTCCCTTCCTGTGAGGGGTCTTCTCTCAGGGGAGCCCCCAGGCATCTTTCCCCCTTCTCTTTCATCCCTCCTTCCCCCTCCCGTCCTCCCTACCCCTGTGGCGTCTGGTGTGAGGAGGGCTCCCTTCCCCCTTCCCTGCTGTGGTGTCCCAGCGTCTCTGTGGCTGAGGTCCCCACGGAGTCACCTGGAACACAGGAGGCCCAGCCCGGCTCTTTCGTCTCTACTGCCCCCTGTTGTCGTTGTGTTCTGTATGTGGTTCCAGTGCCGTCCTCTCTTTCTTGACTTTGTGGTTTTTTTCTTTTTTTCTTCCTTCCTTCCTTCCTTCCTTCCTTCCTTCCTTCCTTCCTTCTTTCTTTCCTTCCTTCCTTCCTCCTTTCCTTCCCTGCTTCCCTCCTTCCTTCCTTCCCTCCTTCCTCCCCTCTTTCCTTCCTACCTTCCTTCCCTCCTTCCCTCTTTCCTTCCTCCCTCCCTTCTTCCTCCCTCCCTTCCTTTCCTCCCTCCTTCCTTCCTTTCTTCCTTCCTTTCCTCCCTCCTTCCTTCCTTTCTTCCTTCCTTTCCTCCCTCCTTCCTTCCTTTCTTCCATCCTTTCCTCCCTTCCTCCCTTCCTTCCTTCCCTCCCTCCCTCCTTC